TCTAGACCTAGAAATTGATCTAATTTTAAGGTTATGTTTTGGTCAAGAAACCGCTAGGGGCACTAGGTTAAAACATAACCTCAAAATTAGTGCAAAATACTAATAAACCAAAATGGCGCTGGTTTCGGCAAACATAACCTTAAAATTAAGTCAAAACTAAAATACAAACAAAAATTTAAGATTAAATTAAGCTGCGCATCGCTATAATAAATAAAAAGAAATCGAATTTTCAGTTACTTTTTGAAAAAAGAAACTTCTAAAAAATGATCAATTTCTAGAAAATCATAAGAAGAAAAGTGAAGAAAGATCAAGTCCATTTTCCCCCCTCTCTCATGGCTCATGCTCAATTACCAATAGATCGCGTCGTGCTTCGCCAAACGCTCGTCCGTATAATGCACCGAACCGATTCCACGGGCATCGGAGCAATTTAATTTGTGAATTCCGTACTGGTCGGAATGGCACGAATGGTTTCCAGAAATACATAGCGTTCTGTCCCTAATGACCTGCACTGTCCGGTGGTCGTGTCGACGACAAAATCAATCCTCATAAATAGATGAGAAATTTAAAAAAAAAATTCTAATTTTTCTGACAATTAAAGATTAATAATAATTTGAATTTAGTTAATAAAATTGTTAAGTGAAAAAAAAAATTGACGAAATCACTAAAGTTTACTATTTAACCTTTAAACTGCCATATAGCGGTCTTTTAGACCTTTTTTAGATTATTATTTAAAGTACAATAGAAACTTTCAAATATTTTATAAAAAAAAATAAAAAAAAAATTCAAAATTCGTTAAATTTTGAAATTGTTGTATATATAGCTATCTGTTATACCGACATTAGGCGTAAGTGTTCGTAAATGCGCATCTTCGTGCGCAACTAGTTCTGTTATCATAACCTATAGAAAGATATCGAACAATAAAAATGTTAATAATTACATAAAATAATATATTACAATTCTAATAAATAAAGATGTAAATAAACATTTTAAAAATTTAAACTTCTACAATTTTAGCATTCAGCAATGTAAAAATTATTAATTATTATTTATCTAGTAAAATATACTTCTCTTAAATATACTTTTTTCTTCAATTTATAATTAAAACAAATTAAAATTATTATAAAATACAATAACCTTCTAACAATATTCGAAAAATGAATAAATTATACTCTCTAAATCTGAATTAGTCACCGATTCGTTTATTAAATGAATTAGTAACAGTAATTATTTATTTTGTAGTCAAAAATTACTAATTCATTAGTTAATCTGATTTTTAGGTTATGTTACATGACTAAAAAATTAGTAGATTTATTTCTACCACTAGGCGTAATTTTTTATCATCTAAATTGATAATCTATAGTGTTTTAAAATTTAAAGAATCATTCCAAATTTTCACACAGGGTTTTTAGTAAAAATTTGTGTAGAATTTATTATATTTATATAAATGAAAATCTGGTTTATAACCCACACGTGCACAAGTGCGTGACTATTTGAATCGGGGCGCGTGCCATCGTCGTCGTGCTAATGCAGTGCCAGTGCCATGCCGGGTGCCTGTATATATATATATATATATATAGGTATACATGTATATATAACGACGAACCAGTGATTGCTCGATTCACACGATAATTGCCAACGTATATCCGGAGCTTACACGAGATCCGAGACTCTCGTTCAACTCATCGTCCAGAACGTTACGTGAGAGAGGCCCTCAATTGCTTTTTACAGTTAACTAATGCTCACATTCTTATCCAATCATCGCGGGTTAACTATTATCGCAAAATAAGATTCAGAAGAAAAAAAAACGATGAAGACGCTTATTCAGTTCCTTTTTTCATTTATAAATATATATATACATATACAGTTAGAAACAGGCGACACAACCTAAAAAACATCGGACAAGTGACCGATTAATTCGAGGGTTCCGTGTACACCCGACAATAATAACCTCTTTTTTATATAGAAATAAATTATAAATAACTGGACAGGGTCATTTTGTGCAATTTTTTCGAAAAAAGTCGATTTCTTTCCTTTCTAGCCCGTAGCCATCAAATCCAATCGGTCTCGCTATATTTTTCCTGTAATCTACACGTAAAAATACATATGTGTACTAAATTGCAATGATAGACATTTTTTTGGAATTTCATTTATTTAAATATTAATTCCAGTTACAATTTATTTATAAAATTTATGAACTTAAGAACATGGAATAGACATTGCATTAATAAAATAAACTTCACGAATAAACTGTACTAAACAGCAGTGCAGGGCTTGGCACGTAGAAGAGCATCCTTTCTTATAGAACTGGTGTGACTAATTTTGATTGGCCCAGTCTGAACATTTGCTCAATCGCCATCAGTGTAACCAATCAAGTTCACTTAAATAGTTTAAACTTAGTGACCACACTTTTAATACTTCAGATAGAATTTACGTAGAAAAAATTACATTTAGGTAAAAACACTAAAAAAACCAGTAAAGAAAAAAAAAGATACTAAAATATTTCTCCTACTAAAAATGTTACTGAAGGACCAAAATCTTACTAAATTTCGTGGGAAAACCACTAACTTGGCAACACTGGCAGAATGAAATCTCTAATCGTAAATCTATTAAGCTATTACATGAGAGAGAAAAGGATAGAAATATCTTTTGTCCTTTTCTCTCTCATGTAAAAACTTAAGATTTAAGATTAGAGGTTTCATTCTGCTTAGGCCTAATAAATAGAAAAAAATTGTAGGTTATGTTTATGATGTAAAAATACATATAGCAGAAAATTATAGATTATGTTTATGATGCTTTGGTGTATAGGATCAACTCTCAATAATAGAAATATAAACAATAATATAATTATAAATAGATAATAATTATATAATATAAACAAATACATAAAAACTGATTTTGATTTTACGTAATTAAAAAGGAACTATCATAAACATAACCTATAATTTTCTGCTATAATTAAGCCTCTTTCTTCAGAGCACATCACCTATATTATTCAATTAAAAAAAAATTCAACAAAAACTTTTTTCTAAATAATAGAAATTTTTTCTATCGCAAAAAAAATTGCTACAAGCTAAATTATTTTTAAACAATAAAAAAAAAATTTCAAATCAAAGTTAAAGTTTTCTTTTTGCTATCTGGAAATATCAATTTACATTGACAATTTTCATTATCGAAATAATTTTGATATTATGTAATATGATTAAAATAATATCATGAAGTTTATTTATTAAATGGAAACTGCATATCAGTTAGAAATTCACGATTCAGATGCAAAATAGATTCAAATTTCATGTATCACTTGTCCTAGAACCTTGATTGAAACAATTTTTCCTTGTATTTTACAGTCAAATGATCGAACCAACTGGTCAGATTTCAATCCCACCGCAGTTGAAACATAGTCATTGTTTTGCTAATTCTCTTGCAATATTGACCTGAAATTATCGAAATACGTCGCATTGCGGGAAATTATTCGAAAATTATAGAGCACGTGTACAATGCGCGACATGAAATTGCGCGAATTATTCAGAGCTGAAAAAATAAATACATATATATATGTATATAACCCAAAGAATTTTACCCCATGTATCTTATTGGTTCAATTATAACATTCATCAATTTAACGAAGCGGTAAAATAAATTTTCAATTCAGACAAAAATTTATTAAATATTCCATTTTTAATTAATCACAATAATTATTAAAAAATTTTTCTTTTTTAATCTACTGTTTATTGAAAAATTGAAAACAGATTTGGAAATTTATTTTGTCCTTTGTAATTTTTGTTCTTACATAATTAATCAGATTTTTTTTTTTTTTTGCTATTAATAAAGCAGTAAAAATAGTTTTCTGTTGCAAACAGATTTCGAAAATCTGATAATTGTAATTGTAAATTTGAACAAGTTTTCGACAAAAAAAAAAAGAAAAAATTGTAGGTCAAAATAATGAAAATATTTCTTATTTACAATTTCAATTGGCATTATCAATTGAAGACAAGAGAATGACAAGTCGTTAAAGACCACTTGAAGATGTCCACTAAATAATATTAAAAAGGACGTGAGTTACGTGACAAATGCAAATGGATTTAACGATTTAATTTACGTTCATCTAATATTTGTTGCTAAAAATGGATATTTTTGACAATACAATAATATTTTCCTATATTGAGAAAATGATTTTGTCAATTTTTCCAAGATTAATTAATAAATTCAATTTTTTTTTTATGAAACTATTTTCAAAGACGAAGTTGAGAAAAGGGGAACATTTAACTTGATTTATTTATTATTACGATAAATTTAAAATTTTTTGATTGAACCTATTTAAACAATTTATTTATTATTTTAATTTATTTATATTTAGGGAATTATTATTATTTATTATTATTTTTTATTATTAGTAATTTATTATAACTATTTTATTATTTTTAATTTTAAAATTCCAATGTCCAATCAAAGTTAGTTTCATTAGAAATAAATTATTGCAAATTAAATATAAGATTAGGTAAACTGATTAAAATAGATATAAAAGTATATTATCAATTTTCGTGGAAAAGAAGGGAAATTAATTTTTATTAAATTGTAGATTAAAAGATAAGCCCAATTAATTTTTAATCCAAGTTGAAGAAATCAGCATTAAAAACAGTATTTTCAATAATTTATACTTTGAAGTTTATTTCATTTTTTAAATAAAAAAATTTCATATCACCAAATTGGCAATATTGCTCGTTAATTTTTTTTTCAATAAATATTTATCAATTATGATGGAAAAATTCTCGTGTACGATTTATCATAATAATAAATTATTATTCAGATAAATTTTCCGAATTTTTTTCTATATTCAAAAATATTTAAAAAAAAAAAATCTAAAAATATTTTTAACAAAATTTCCTGTAAATAATTAATTATTAGGATAATATTTTGATTAGAAAAAAAAAGAATTAAAGAGGGAATTTAATTTTAAGAAAAAATTCACATCATTGTTTGAAGTAGTTGTGGTGGTGTCGCAGGTCTGGAGCGGGTAGCGGAGGAGTTGATGGGCCGTAGGAGATGGAAGCAATACCAGGACACCCTGTACACCGGGACTCGCAGCGAATCGTCAACGACGACAACAACAACGACGACGACGACGCAGCAACAACAACAACAACAAGCCCTTCATCAGAGGCTATATCCAACTGTAACAACAGGTTGCAATATCGATGCAGCGACATTAAATCAGGTGTCCCACCTGCGTCCCCAGGTGTTGCCAGCTCAAATAAAACAGGAGCTGCTTGTTCCGAAAATCCTCTCGAATCATCATTCCACACAGGAGGATCAATCGGATCATTCAGAGCAACGGGATCAGGAGGAATTGCATCGCGTCAAGCTCGAGCTCGATCATACCGAGAGTGGAATAGTCACCAACAATACCAACTCAATCAAGAGACGAGTTCGTGGAGACGACGAGAACGGCAACAAAGAGGAAGCCGAGGACGAGGCGGAAAAGAGACTCAAGCCCAATCAGGAGAACGACAAGTCCTCCAATCACCTCAACGAAAACGATCGAACCTCCAGGGACGAGGATCCGACCAAACCCAACGATACGGAAGGGACCAAGGTAAATAAATTTTATATCTGTTTTTTTTTTAAAATTATTATTAATTATTAATTATTCTCTTTTTTTTCATCAGGAACGGATAGAAGGAGTCGCGTTGGAGCGAATACAAGTGACACAGGGTTTGTTGAGGGTAAAAAAAGAGGAGGAACTACAGGAGCCAGGAATTCATGGGAATTCAACATCAGTGACAAACAATTCGATCAAGGAGACGGAACTGAATTCAGAGAACGTGTTCCTTGGAAATCGGAGAACGAGCCCACCACCGGAAGATTGGAAGCCATTGGACAAGTGTTACTTCTGTCTCGATGGCAAGCTGCCACACGACGACCAGGCGCCCCTTGTAAGTTTTTTTTTTTTTTTTTTTACTGTAAAAAAGAAAAAAAAATCCATCCATAGCAACTACTTAAGGATCATTCGCTTTGAACTTCTCTTTAAAGATTCATGAAGGAAGAGATAGTTTTCTCCAACACCTTTATATCCCTTCTATCAATAACTTTATCTCATTTCAACTTCTTTTTCCAGAATCATCTATAAATCTAAAAAAATCAAAATTTAAAATTCATATCTTCTTTACAAGATCTTATCTGTCATCATATTCATTTAATTTTCAAAGATCCTATTTGTCAATTCAGAAATCTGAAAGATACCAATTTAACTATTTATAAAGTATCATTACTTTATAAATAGTAAAGAAATATATATATATATATCAGAAAAATAAAGAGAGAAAAATAATGTAAAGTCTCATTAAAGATGGATTCAATTTAAATGCAGAGATGAAAAAATTTTTGAAACAAATTGTTTTTTTTTTTTTATCAGAAATCGGATTTGATTTAAATCAACATAGAAATAAGATTTTTCTTGGCAGATAAAAGTAGTTTAGGATCTTACGATGTTGAGAGCGTTAAATAAAACAGAAATTATCAAAATTTCTAAAACTATCGTTTTATTTCAGAAAAAAAAATAGTTTCATGTTATTACTTTATTATTATTTTATTATTACTATTAATATTACTATATTAATTAATTAGCATTAAATAAAATACAAATTCTGGATATTTAAATTTTTAAAAAGTAAATCACTTGAAGAAGAATTTAAAAACCAATTCAAAAATTAAATGCAAAAAAAATTCTGTGAACAATTTTAAAAACAATTGAGGAAAACAACTGATGGGCATAAAAACTATAAAAAAAAATAATTTGAAAACCTCAGTAACAAATGATCAATATGAACGATTGATTAGTTTAAAAAAACAACTGAATAAACGTGAAAGCAAGCAAAGAATAAAAATCAATCTGAAAGGAAAAAAAAGTCAGAAAATTTATAAAAAAAAAAAAACCTATTGAAAAAAATTGTCTTTTCCCTTTTCATTATTTTAGTAATTGAACAACTTAATATTCACTTTACAGTCAACTAAATAATCCAAAAAGTAACAAAAGAACGTAAAAACTACTCAACAACTTAAAATCGATCGAATAATTTTAAAAATAACAACAAAGAAGATATCGATCACTCCGAATTGGAATTAGAAAATAATAAAAACTATTTTTTATAATTTTTTTAAATAATTCAAGAGTGAAATAATATAATATAATTTATATAATTAAATAATATAAATAATATAAAATTTATATTATTTAACTTAAGTATTTTATTTTTTTTACTTAGTATATTAAATTAATATAATTATTTTAAATAATTTTTAAAAAATTAATATATTATTTAACTAATTTAAATAATTGAGCAATCTATAAAGCAACTTATCAACTTGAAGAACAACAACTAAATCCGAAAACTACTGATCAACCTAAAATCGACCAAACGTCTAAAAAAAAATACTATAAGAAACATATTAAAAACAAGTAAGCAATCTAAAAGTGAAAAAAAACTGATCAGCAATTTAAAAAGCAATCGAAGTTAAATTTATTAAGAAATTGATTTTCAAATAATTAATAAACCTTGAAAGCAGGAGATGGACCGAAACAGTAAATTAACTGATGAATAGCAACTGAAAAACTGATTAGAAGCAAATAATTTAAGCAGCAAGAATATCAATTTAATTTATTAATGATCAGCCTGAACAACATAAAATACCACTGAAAAGCTGAAAATACAATCAATATAGAAATAATTAATTATTTTAGAAACAACCGATCTGAAAAAGCAACAATCAATCTAAACTGAAGAGCAACAAAAAACTGAAAAATAGACCTAAAAAAATCTACAGAACAGCCTAAACAACTAACAATCTATCTCAACGACAACTGATTTCACTAAATAATCTGAAGCTACTAAAACCAAAAAAAGAACCGAAGAATTTAAAAATACTACTGGAAATCAATTTGACCAATTTTAAAAGCGACTGACAAATCTAAAAACCATCTGATCAACTTATAAAAGCACCTGATCAACTTAAGAAGAACTTCAAAAAAAAAAAAAACACCTGATCAACCTAGCAAACAACTAAACATTAAGAGATTATTAAAATTAAGAATAAATCTTAAATTTACTGATCAGATCAAATCAACAGAACATTCCAAAGTGATTTACTGTGATGAATTAAAAAAAAAAAAAGGGGCACAATTTATCAGCCGATAAAAGCAACTGATCAATCCATTCCTGTCCAAGAGTCCTCACAACTTTTCCTTGTGAACGTGTTTTGATTATCGCGAATCGTAATCGAATTGTGTTTTGGTTGACAGAGTCCTCAGAGTGACAGCAGTAGTAGTTCACGATCAGCTGAGTCTCCGATGTCAGTTCAGGTCGACCCCATGGCGGCATCAGTGGTAGCAGCCGCTCTTGGCACCTATCCAACATTACTGCCACAATGGTGTCTACCACCGAGAGAGGCACCCCACGTCAACATGCAAGCACATCAGGATAATGCCTCAGGAGTCGATCAGCCCCTCGATCTCTCGGCCAAGCCCAAAATTTCTCAGGTAAGTCCCTTTCCATCTTCCCCCCTTTAAAAAAAAAAAAAAAAAAAAAAAAAATGTTTCAATTCTTTCAAAAAAAATAATAAACAAATAACATCGAGATCAACTCCTGCCAAGGTTAATCAAACTCTCGACATCCATTTGAAATTCTCATCGTTTTTCTTTTTTTTTTTTCCTTTTTTTATTTCGTTATTTACCTCAAAAATTATTTCCGATTTTTTCGTATCATCATTATTTAAAACAAGAGTTCTTTCTTGAATTATATATATTAATTTTGCAATTATGATTTCATGTTTTATTAATTTGATATTAATTTTCTGTATACTTTACATTATTTTTTTTTCTGAATAGTGAAGTAACATTTCCAATTTCTACTAAATAATATCGATTTTTTATCTGCAAAATATATTGAAGAAGAAAAAAAAATTGGAAATGTTAGATCTTTATTTTTGTTATTAATTGATTTATGATTTTAGACTTTCAAGGAAGTCTATATTGTATTCACATGAGTTCTCATTATTTTTACGTTTGTCCTATAGAAGAATCATCGTCGTTTTCAGGACAACAATTTATCTTTGTTGGAACAACAAAAAATACCTCTGCGAATGCCAGCGGGCCTCGATCCCAAGACGATATTCAAGTAAGTAATTTTCAAAATTTCTCACTTTAATTTTCCTTTTGTCTTCTCAAATTGTTCTAGTAAAAAATAATTTTTCAAAAAAAATTATAATTTTCAGAATAAATTTTCCATTTCTTATCGAAATACTAAAATTAAAGAAATTATAAAATATTATTAATATAGAAAATTAATATATAAAAATATATTAATAGAAATTATTATTTATTATTCGATTAATGACAATTTTACATTTTCGAAAAAATTGCCTTAGAAGTTTTTATACATAGTAAAATTTCTATTTTTTTGTTTTTGAAAATTCTATATGTTTCTCGAGATAAAAATTTGAGCTGTTTTGACACTCGCGGCAAAAAAAAAAAAAAAACAATGAGCAAAAAAAAAAAAATCCTAAATGATATTTAAATGACTGTCGCGAGAGTGACGATGCGCGACTCGTTGTTTCTGATATAATTTACATTGCGTGACTAAGGAGGAGGTAATTGGATTCCTCTCTTGAAAGAAAGATCTCGATTGTACGTGGTGCGATGCTAGAAGATCTATTTGCAATGTGTGATAAGAACGCATATATATATATATACACAGAGAAACTTTAAACTGCAATCTGGCAACGTATAGACTTTGGAGAATGATAACCCTGATTTCATCAGCTAATTAGACAATCGTTTTGCAAGATGGATAACCTCAACCTTGCTTTACTAAGAAAATAGTCTAGGAATATAATAGCTTTTATCGGTTAGAGAAATTTCTACAGATGCATTTTATCACTCTTTTAAATGACTAATTTTAAAAAAATTCCATATCATTTCTATTGCAATCATCTTCAAGTTTCAAATTTCACATTATAATATCTGTCATTGAAAATATATTCTATCGAAATAATTTGAAAAAAATTCCAAAAATTGAAATTCATAATTTTATTTCTTAGAACTAAAATAAATAAGATACTAGAAAGAAAATTGCGAAAAAAAAAAATTCGAATCTTCGAAAAAAATGTAATTTTTAAAGTAAAAATAATATTTTTCAAGAGTTCATCAAACTGATTATTTGTTTTTCTTTGTAGGTAGGTTACTAGTTGAGAATAAAAAAGGAGGCAATGTTCGATAAAGTCGCATTTCAAGGAAAAAAAAAAAAAAAAAAAAATGAGGCAGATTCACCCTGACAAGATTGACACCTCGCCACCCGTCGCAAAAGCGTCTTCCTTAATCGGATTTCTTATCGGACATGTAAACGTACTTGTTACCAGATCTGGCATTTATTTTACGCATAGTCTCGCGGGTCACGGCAAATCGACAATAATTATCCAAAGAAGGGGGAGAGTAAAAGAACCCATAATATACCAGTGCGTTGACCTCATTGAGATTTCGATTGTGTTTTCACAATTTATATTTTGCGCGTCAAAAAATTTTTTTTTTTTTCTTTTTTTTTATCATCTTCTATTATTAGTCACCGTAATCTACACCTCGAATACATCATATGTCTTTCATACTATCTCATATAAATGCCAAGAATTTTCTTTTTCCTCTTTATATATATATGTATAAAGTGGGGACCACTCACAAAATACTCCGGTGCACAACCAAGTGCAATTAAACTTACTGATAAGATATAATTCCTGGTTAAATTCAGTCATAAACTTGTTTCTGCATGTTGCCAAATCGACAAAATATTATATAGGTGTGTGGGAATTTTCCTAGATTAAAACAATTTTCAATTTTTTCTCTCTCTCTCTCAAATATTTCACGTTTCATATTGGAAAAATAATTTTATTGTAAATTAGAAATAAATTATTTCATTACATTTATTATTTGAAAAAATTTTAATTTTTTAGAAGAAAAAAAAATTTGAGATTAATTTTCCAGGTTTTTTTGAAAAAATTTTGAGAAAATTTTTGCCACTAAGCTTGAAATTTAATTTTTTTTATTTGACAGAATTTACTTTCAGAGGATTTTTTTTACGTATTCGAATTATTATTTAATAGAAATTTCATTTAACCGAATTTCTATATTTAAAAAATGATTAATTAAACGAATTTTCATTTGTTCGAATTTGCATTTTACAGAATTCTTAAAAAAAAAATTAATTTTACAGAACTTTCAATTCGTTAATTCAATAGAATTTCAATAGAAATTCTTGTAAATGGAATTTTTTGATAATAATTCGATTAAAAGTAAATTCTATGTCATGAAATTCTGTCAAATTAAATTTTTAACAATTTAATTTTAAAACTTATTTTTGCGTTTTAAAATTTTCCATTTTTTCAAAAAAAAAAAATGTTAGTTTCGCGAAAAAAAATTATTTCCAAAGAAATTTTGAATGAAAATAAATTTAACTCTCTTAAAATAAGTTTTATTTTGAAGAAATTTTATTGTTTGATAAAATATTGTAAAATAAATTCTAGTTTTTGGAAACAATTTTTTCTTTTTATCTTGGATTAATTTATTTTCAATTTACAAATTCTTGCTATTCGCAATTCAATTGAATGAATGAAAAATATGTAATTTTATTCATAATCTTATCGAGCATTGCAGTTTGTACAAAAATTGATAGACTTCCAGGTATTATTCTTTGTATTTCACTAATTCGATTGACCATTTTCATTATAATTAGCTTTATTGAATCAATTTTAAAACCTTTTTATTTCTCCAAATTTCACTTCATTTTTTTTACAAATTAAACGAAAAATCATTTTTATTTTTCAGTAATAAAATTTTTAATACCAAATAGATTTCTAATTTCTTTAAAATTAGTAAAATAAAAAAATTTTCTCATCTTTTGCACAAAATTTGGGTGATTCTGAAAAATTCTACTTTCAAAACAAAAAATTTATATACATTTTGTTTTTAGAGAAAATTAAAAAATTTTATTTATAAAATTGATTTACAGCTATTTGAAAATTGACACTAATTTATAAATTGCTCTTTGACTAATTGTAGTGATAAATATTTCTTTCACAATTAAATATCTATTTTTTGAAGTAATTTTCATTATTTCTTTCATTTTTTTTTGCGAATAGTTGATTTGTCTTATCTTTAGTATAGAGAAAATTTACGAAGCTATAGAAAGAGAGAGATCAGTGAACGAAAAAAAAAAAATTGCAGTCAGTATGGTAAACAAAAAAAAAAAAAGAGCCGATAAATTCAGACTGTGCCACGGTAGCTTTGCGCCTATCAGTCTTGTATATAGTCGAAATGCACTTTTATCTGCGAATTCTGTTGACCGACAACCGCCGGTCATTGAACTCGTTAAAATGACTCGATCATACCAACTAAGAACCAAGGATAAGGAGACACGCGACGATTCTCTGCAGTTGTTATTCATAATCTTATCAGTAATAACAGATTTTGCAAAATCGATTAATTTCTCGGTAATTCAATTTCTTTTTTTCCCCAAACACCTGGCGAAAGAAAAATATTTATTGTTTTGCCAAAAATAAATAAAAAAAATGAATTTGTGAAATAGTTACGCAGCACGTTTACTAGACATATTCTTCTATTGAAATATTGAAATAAATGGAATATTGAAATCAATTGGATGCAATGTAAAATATGATCTAATGTATAAAATGGTTATTGAGTTTGAATTAATATTGGAATGAAATAAATAGGAATAGGTAAGGATATTGATTTTGGGGGAGAAATTGAAATGAAGCATCCGTACTCGATTAACAATAATATAATCAGGTGCTTGAAGAGGAAAGCTAGTATATTGAAAGGAAACACGTGCCTTCGATTTATCGAGCACGTGAACACGCTTTGCACAACTGAAAGTTAACATAGCTTCAATAAGAAGCCCAGTGGCCTGATTGCAGCTCGATCATTAGCAGAATTTTCGTTGACGTCACTCTTGCAATGATTCACAGTTTCAAAATCATTTTTAACATACCCCTTCTTCTTAAAATAGTGATAAAAAAAAAGAATGCTCTAGATCATTTATTCTTATCAACACAAAGAAAGTGGCACGTTCTTTTTTGTTTTCATTTTTCGATTTTTTTTTTTTAATTTCTTTATCCCCAGAACGTGACTTTTGTCTGAATTTATTAGTCAGCTTGAATTTTTTTTTAAACTGATTTCTATTTTCGACTATAAAATTGAAATTTAATTTTCCTTCTCAAAGACATTTTTGATAAAATTAATTTTTTGTTTGAAAAATAGAAAATATTTATTTAAATGCTAATTAGAGAAAATGCGGAAGGAATATTTTTGAGATATTGGTATTTTTTTTTTTTTTTTGTTAAATAATGATATTTTGTTTGCAGTTCGTGTTATCGGGCGAAACCAAGGCTGACGGGTACAACGGGTGCAGGAGGTGTTGCAACGGTTGGAGCTGGCGGTGGTAGAAGAACGTACACCGAGGAGGAGCTGCAGGCAGCCCTGAGGGATATACAGAGCGGAAAACTAGGGACCCGTAGGGCAGCTGTGATCTATGGAATACCGAGGAGCACACTGCGCAACAAGGTCTACAAACTTGCGATGGAAAAGGAAAGGGACGCGTCCCTTACAAGCACCATTTCACACCCTCACGAGTCTTGCGTTCCAGCCACGATCACGATTACCACCTCCACAACAACAACAACAACAACAACTACAACACCAAATACGACCCAAAATGCATCTGCAACCACTCCGCCCTCGCAAGTGGATGAGGTAGGTTTTGGGGACAAAAACGAGCGTTGTAATACGAAAACCAACTAACTAGCGCACTAATTAAAACAATTCTCTCTCTCTCTATATATACCTTAACGCGTAATGAGAATCACGGAAACTATATGACGAAAACCTCCTTGCAACTCGATTCGCGACTGCAATTTATTTATTTTTATTCTCGTTATAGAAAAAATCCAACAAAAGATTCTTTTAAAGCAAATTTTAATTGGAAGATTCGATGGAAATGCGGACAAATTGAAAATGTTTCTCAATTCTTATTTCAAAAGGATTCTCAGTTTATTTAAGTCCCGTTCAATTTTTCTTAATTTTAACTTTACAGGGGGAAAAAAATATCAAATTTTTCCAAAGTATTTTCAGATCGTAGAAAATAAAAACTCATTTGAATCATGATACTAAATTATGTATTTTGTAAAAAATTTTCTAGTTTTAAAATTTCTTATATAAAAATTATGCTTTATTTTACACATTTTGAAAATACTAAATAAAATTTGATATTTTTTTTCCGTGTAAATAAAATAGTAAAAGCAGTAAAGTATGAAAAAAAATTTTCAAAAATTGTTCGATATTTATTTTGAGAATGATTTAAAGAATTTTTTATATTTATTCAGTGTGACCACCCAACCGGGAGAAACGGGAATCAAACCAATAAAATTTTTGTAAAAAAAAAGTAGTTTTTTGACAATTTAAAAAAAAAAATCGTAGGATACAAACAGTTTTAAAAACAAGAAATTTAACTTTTAAATTACGAAAAATATAGTAAATTTAATTTGATTTTTACATCACACTTAAAATGATCTAAAAATAGTTTAAAAAAAAATAATAAATTTTTTATTATTTCTCAGTAAAAGTAATTTTTTTCATAATTTATAAAATGATAATTATATTAATTATTATTATTTATTAAAAATTTAATTTGTCCGAATTCAATTATCTTCGTAAATTTTGCTTTATGGTTTCAATTTCCATATAGATGTGTTGCATACTTATAAATTATTTTCCAATCTCATGATTTAGATTAGTCATTAATAAGAGATAGAAACTGAAAAAAAATATTTTCAGCAAAAAAATATTTTTTTTTAAATTTAATTTAAAAAATTTATAACAAAAATTTCATTTTTTCAAAATAAGGATTTTAATTGACGACAATTAAGTTCTTAAAGAGTAAATTTAAATTAAATTACTTGATTTTACGAAAGTAAATCCATTTAAATTTCAAATAATTCGAATTTCAATTGATTTAAAATTATTTACGGTAAATAATTCACTTTTCTACTTATTTTAAGAAAAAAGGTATTCTTGTTCTAAAGAAAAAAATAAAAAAAGGGGTTTTTAAACTTAAAATTATTAGTTTTCTATTATAATTCATTAAATTTAATTTAAAAAAAAAATGTTGAGGTAAAATTTTTTAATATCAGAAAAATGTCACGGAAATTGAAAAATTGATTCTTGTGGCAACCCTGTTTTTAACCAACTAAACTGAATTGCGATTTATTAAATTAAAATTACGATGATTCATAGCTTCTTTAAAGGTTCCAATTTAGAAATAACGATTTATTGTTAAGAAATCTAATAATAAAACTCAAAACTTATTTCAATTGGAATTTATTATTTTGAACTGAAAATATTTTTTTCATTGACTATTTTTTTTTTTTTTTTTCGTTAAATTCATTTTTGTTGGAGAATTCTTTAAAAAAATGGAAGTTTGCAGAATCTTATTCCTGATTGGAGAATATTATTATCAAAGTTGAAGATTCAATTATTGAAATGTAGTTTTGGTTAGGAAGAATGAATGAAGCTTCCCCAAAACATACCTCTTGCATGTCGATTAAGTAGATTTTTTTTTCATTAATCATTTCATAAATTGAAATATTTTTTTTTTCATTTTAAGATTCAAATTAATTTCAAATTTTTTTGCTAATGAGAATTTTTTATCTGAATGGGAATCTACACTCATTCTTAAAGATTATCGTGATGCTGAGTAGTATCCTGTGTCATTTTGCATGGGTTGTTTAACTTTTTATCGCTATTTGTAGTTTAACATTCGGTCATTTGGTGCACGCGAAGGTGACGAGGCTCGAGGTAAGTTTTTAGAAAGATTCGTGCAGAAAGGAACTTAATTTATTTTTTATTCATCGCGTTTTTTCGTGAAAGAGAAAAATTGTTCTCTGGATTTCTCTTTCTTTAAATGAAATCGTTAATAAATATTAATTAAATAACTAATTTAAAATTATTATTAAATAGTAATTTATTTTTAAATTATGAAATTTTTGTTTTAAATATTACAAAATATAATGCTATTTAATAATTATTTAAAATTAGAATTCGTAAGAATTTGCATGTTTCTATATGAGCCATCGGAAATTGATTTTTATTAAGGACCAACTCAAAAGGATGTACAAATTTTTGTTTTACTTTCCGTCGGCTCATATTCCGATTCGAGCACAACATTTTCTGATTGAAAATACGAGAAAGTGTTCTAAATTCAGGGAATTTGGAATATTTGAAATTAATCTCGAATGGATATTTTGAAATCTCCTTGCATCCATTTGTGCTGTGCGTAAAAAAAAATCTCTTTACTCGTCAATCCCGCATGAAGCTGGTTTTTTTTTTTGCATAAAAAGTGATACACTCGATACATGACAGATACAGTTTATAGATTTTATTTTCAAACATTAGTTAATTACGAATTACAATAATTAAATTAATGCTGTTAATTAATTTAAGCAAATTATAATTAAAGTTTATTTTTAAAAAATTGAATTAATTAAAATTATAATTAATTATAATTACAAAATTTAATTAATTATAATTAAGATAATTTAGATGCATTTTTAATTAAATTTGCTTTTAAATTCGAATTATATTGAATTATTGAAAGAAAATGTACAGATAATTAATTAATATTATTTTGTTTTCATTGTGAAGAGAAATGTTTTGATTTTATGATAAAATATCAGATAGAAAATGTTAGAATGAAATTTTGTTAACAGCCGGACGAAAAGGAGCTTTCGGGGGCCGAGGAGGAAAAGGAAGTGGAGAAGGCACTGCTGAAACCATTGCTATCTCTCGAGGACCTGGTCAGGTTTTCAGCCCTCGAAGGAAGCGGAGGAGATTCTTTGAGGACTCTTCTGCAAAGAGGACAGGAAGCAGGAACTGAGTGGCCTGGTTTCGAGCACGCGAACATTGGTCCATACATCCAAAAGATGTTGGCTGCCGCTACACCCTTCAAAGGTAAATTCACATAAATATCAAAAACTATTCCATTTATCAAAAAATTTTTTCTTTTTTTTTTTTTATTCTATTTCACATATTTCCAATTTTTAAATTCTTAATTTTTTATTATTTAAAATTTTTTTTAAACCAAATTGAAATTTTAATTATTAAAAAGAAAATGTGAAATTTTTTTTTTTTTAATGAAAGAATATGACAATCTCTTTGATTTTATTGGAAAAATTGGTGAAAATTACACGTAATATTTGAACGAGAGAGTATCTCATTAAAGAAATGGGAAAAGAATAGTCGTTTATCGATTGGTCGCGAGTCTTTTACTATTTTACTGATCTGGGTCATTCGTGTTGGTGCACGAAAGTTAAAAAAAAGGCATGTAACTTCATAAGACTTCAGGGATCGATAGAAGCCAGGCCCGGTCCGGCTCGAAGGGTCGACAACACTTTCTGCCTTTTTATGTTAACGTTCTAAACGAAGCGAGTGTTAATCCGGATTGACATATATATATATACAATCGTTAGGTGATAGTTGAAAGATTGTTTAATGAAAAAAAAAAAAATTCTTTACAGGACTCGCAGAGACGCAAGACTATAGAATTCCAGAGGTGATGAGGAGGTTGATGAGCGAGGACAAGAGACTGAGTAAAGATGTGAATGGTGATCATTCCGGTCATCATCAACAGCAAAATCAGTCTCAGCAGCCAATAACAAATGATGATTTTAATCCAAGTATCGAGGAAGAGGCGAATGACAGCGCTCAGGGCAGAGCCATATTAAAAATTCCGTCCTACAAACCGGCGAATGCGCCGGGTTCTAGTAAGAATGGCGAACCAAACTCAGCTGCGTTTGCTCAGGGCTTCGCTGCAGGAAGTGGCGGCGTTGCCGGAAGTCCCGGTTTGATAGAGCGCGCGAGTCCCGCATTTTCCGGTACCAGTAGCCCTACGAATTCATTGGTTGGCAAGGGCGTCGGTGTTAACTTCCGGGATGTTATTGCAAAAAGTATCAGCGTTAAATTCCAAGAGGGTCAATCGCCCGGTGGAATTGCAGGTCAAGTCGTTCAGTCGCCTCATTCAATAATAAACGAGTCGAATCCATTTAAAAGGGGTCGATATACACCGCCTCAGCAACCACAGTCGCAGCAAAAGTCGTCCCAGTCGCAAGATAAAAACAAACCCGGAACTGGAGGCAAGGGCACGAGACCAAAACGTGGCAAATATCGAAACTACGATCGAGATAGTCTTGTTGAGGCTGTGCGCGCCGTGCAGAGAGGCGAGATGAGCGTTCATCGAGCTGGAAGCTACTACGGAGTTCCTCATTCCACTCTCGAGTACAAAGTCAAGGAGAGGCATCTCATGAGGCCACGAAAGAGGTAACGAATTTTTCTTTTTTTTTTTTTTATATTATTTCCTACTGTTTCATTAACTGTGGAACTGATTTGTAGAGATCAAAAGCCACCCGAGGATAAGGCGAAGGAGACGACAACGACGACAACAACAACGGCTGCAGCAACAATGAGACCTGGAGCGACAGACAAGAAACCGCCTCTGAAACCTCAGAAACCGTTCACACCCCCGGGAGGAATGCCAGGTCCAAACGGGATGAAAATGCCGCCATTCATGGAAGGTATGCCTCCGATTCCGTTTCCTCATCCGTACAATTTTTGGGGATCGACGCCATTTATGCCATCGCCTTTTATGGGCGGGGGACCCAACGTTCCGGGAATACTTTCCGAGCAGTATTTCGCGACTCAAAGGATGCGAGGACTTCAGGAACAACAGCGAAATGCAATCGCTCAGCATCGGGATAGAGAAGGCGGATCAGCGGAGCCGGGAACGTCAAACTCGCGGGGTTCCTCAATTGTGAAATCAACGCGAGAAATGGCCGAGAGTCTGTACGATGGTACAGGGGCGAACGGCAGCTTCCTGGACAATCTGATAAGATCGAGTCTTGAGACGGGTATACCAAGGGACCAAAGGGCGATGGTCGAAGCAAGAAGTCAACAGCAACAGCAAACGGCTTCGCAACATCATTCCGATGCTCTCAGTAGTAAATCGCTAATCGATCAACTCTGCAGGAACTCGAGACGAACGCCCCTGCCGAGAATGACGCAAGACAGCAGCGAGGACGAAAGCTACAGGAGTTCGAGCGGCAGGTCGATACCCGATCGACCTGAGCGCGTGCCAACTGTTGATTTGAGTCCATCACCTTCCGAGCGAGGTCGGCCCGACGATGGCAGCGATCGTCTCACCTCGCCACCAACTCCTCTCCCAGTTTCCAGGGCGAGCAGCAGGGACGACGATCGTGACTCGAGGATCGATCGAAGCAGTAGGGAGCGCGAGGTCCACAACGGAGGACAGGAAGACCGGGAGAAAAAACAATCGCTGAATCACTACCCGGACTTACACAATCTCTATGCCGTTTCAACTGACAAAAAAAGTGCCTGTGATAGTAAGCTTATAGTAGATCATTCGAGCCAGAAGACTCAGCAACAACAGCAGCAGGAGTACGCGGCCGTTAGTGGTCTGGTGGTGCAATTGCAAAGGGGATATAATTCCGGTACCAACAGGTCCAGTGATCAACCTCCCAACAACCAGCCACAGGAGCAACGCGGCTCAGCGGTGCTCATGGAAGACTCTGTAGAGCAGTAGAAGTCAGTATCTTCTCGTAAAGTATACAGTTACAAAAACTACAGTAACTACAATAAACCAGTACAGTAAATTCCCCCCCAATCACCCTTTGCCCCCCCCCAAAACCTCCAGAGGCTCGCCAATCACTTCTCGAACATCATAGGACGAGGATTCTATCTATCATTCCTTCTGCACTTAAATTTCAAGTGCTTCGATCACTGGCCAGTATCCGCGAGCAGATAGACTTCGCAGAATCCTCGTCAGTGATTTTTCCCCTCATCTCGTTTCTTTACTTTCGCTTTTTCTTTTATCAATGAAAAATTATACTTTATCGATTACTAATTGGGAATGTTTTTGAATCAAAACCACAATCGATTTTTCTCATTTTTAATCGGGAGTTTTCATGAAAAAATTGTAATTTTTTAAAATGATATAAATATTTCGTTGGTATTATTTATCCAAAAAGTTTTCAGGATATTTATGAATTTAATATTTCGAAATTTTATTGCCTATAGAAATGTCAGGTTGATTATGAAAAATTATTTACTCAAAATTAAACATTTATTACATCAAATCACAAATTGTGTGACTTGTTCATTTTTGGAAATATCTATCAACGAATTGAACAAGTATTTTAAAAACTATTAGCGTTGAAAGTTTTATTTTTAAATTAAATAATAAATATTAATTTAAAGTTAAAAAATATTTGAAATATCATATCTACCCAATAAAATGAAAAAAAAATTTTTGATGAAAACTCTCTATTAAAGATAATAAAAATAGGAATTTTTCGTCTACATAATTAATATACAATATTTAACATTCGTCAATTTCGACAAAGGGAAAAAATTTTCTACAATTATGCAATTCTATCGGAACTTGAATTTATTCTGATGTCATTTGAATAATAGTTTTTGCAAATTTCAAAAAACCAAAGGAATTCGAAAGTGAAACGAATGAAGGTAAATCACATCAGTTGATCGAGAGTGATTTGTACTCCTTTAAATCCCCTCCCCGTCTTAAGCTTCAACGTCTCGAGGCAAGAAATCAAGTGCAAAAACGAAAGCGTACGCGAAATGCTTACACACCACCGAACCAAAAACCACTGCGATCCCACTAGTAAATACGCCGCGAGCTCAGACTTTGGGGAGAATCTTTTAGATTTTCCACAAGTCAACGCGGTACGACTCTTTCGATTATGGGCAATGTTTACGAAAAGGAAAAAAAAAAAAACATTAAAAAAAAAAAGACAAGGAATATTCGAGAACCTACACTCAATAAATGTTATTTACATTCTACAGAAATTTTGTTCAGACTTGACATCCAAGTTACAATCTGTTTATATACAAATTGAACAAATTTCTGTATTGACACACAGACAAAATACTCACACATAACACGATCCTAAACGATCATCCCAACACGATTTGTATACTGTAACCCTTTTACCTGAGGTGCCCTGAATTATCCAAAAAAAAAAAACGACCACAAAACTGGTAAATAATTTAGGTAGCAAAACAAAAAATGAAAACTTTGGCGCGCATGCGACCTTAAATCATTCTACCTACAAAGGGCAGATAAAATAAATTAACAACATATTTTTTTCTCTATCAATGTAAAATTACCTAACGTAAACTTACCTACTATTAACATTACTTAACTTTTAAGGAAGCAACATAATTATATAAGAATAATATATTATATATATACATATATTTTTGGTCATTACGAAAAAAAAAAAAAAAAAAAAGATTAGCGACGATGATAATGCGAGCCAAGACTTTTGTTGGCGCGCGAGGCGTTTTTTCACAAGGCGACAATATTCTCTGATATCTCAGTTTTTCATGACGATCTTTTTAAAACGGATCTTCGCGTCCCAAAGTTTTTAAAATATTCAAGACTCCTCTAAAGTCGACGAATTCACGTCTCGCGAAGTTCCAAAAACAAAAAATAAGTATACTCTCTTATTAACTTACAAAAAGTCCAACTCGTGTTCCTTTAAGTAAAGACTGCGTAGAAAAAAATAGAAAAGGAAATTTGTAAAAATGGGAGAAAAGCTATAAAAAGAAAAGAAACTTCCATTAAAAAAAAAAAATCTTTTTTTTTTTTATAAAAATGGAAGAAAATTGCACAAATTTGAAAAACGCTCCAAATTTATTTACAAAAAGAAAAAAATTTTACTGTTTTAGAATTGAAAAAAAAAATTTTTTGGTCTGTTATATATGTATAAATTAATGGGAACGTTTTTTGAATTAGTGTCTCTGTTTTGTACATATCCTTTTTTCTTAAGTTATGGAACTATCGTGATTTTAATATTTACTTGACGAGTTTAAAAGACGGCGAATGAGGATGTGTTTTAATCATTGACGTGTACGCTTAAACTAATTGTGATTTCCTCGTCATTTTTTTCTTTTTTTTTTTTTATACCACGTGAATTTGTCGACAGAGGATGCGCTACTGTTCTTACTGAACTAATGTCGCGCTAAGGTGTAAATTATGGAAAAAAATGAAAAAATTAAAAAAAAAAAAAATAGATCACAGCCACGAAATACTGAGAAAAAAGAATTAAATTAAATCTAGACGCGCGCTCTCAATAATTCCGGATCTCCTGATCAGTTTTCTTACACGTTAAAAGTCCACTTTTTGATACGAATGCAAGTTTTCTACCATAGCACAAGCGCGTATACCGTTCTTTGAAAGACTATTTAAACACTTCTTTCCCACTGATTCACATTTTTCAGAGAATTGCAATTAATTTTTCTTATTTTGTCAATTATTTTTCAAAAATTTTCTTTTATATTTCTTTTTTTGACAAAAGTAACTTTTATACAAACAAATTGAATCTAAAAACTAATTTTAAAAATTGACGATATTTTTTTAAATAAAATCAAAATGCTCAATTTTTCTTTTTATAAATTCTTTTATTATTAAATGAAATCAATTTTCAATTTTTAATCTATTTTATTTTTACAACTATTTCATTTTAATAAATAGAAATATTTTTTATTAAAAAGAAATTAATTTTCATGTAGGTGAAAAATAATTTTCAATTAATGTGTAAAAGTAATTGGCAAACAAGAAAGATTGGGTTGTAATTCTCATGTTCCTCTTAACCGGAATTAATTGAAACAATAAAAATGGGGTGCTCCGCAATTAGATAGACGCGCGCTTTAAGTTATACGAGTGGCAAAACAAAAAGTCTGAAACGCTGTAAAATTCCCGTTGGACCAAAGAGCGACAGAAGTAAAATGGGGAAATAGGGAAAAAAAAAAAAATTCGACGCGTAGAAAAGTTTCGCTAGGATTAAAAATGAAAAAAAAAAAGAAAAATATATTAGAAAAAAAAATTGAGATCGGAATGGTTCTGTACCGAACAGGGCAGATCGAATAGCGTAATCGCGACAACAACGGATTTGAGAAGATTTAAAAAAAAAAAAAATTGAAAAAGAAGCTGTTTTTCTGTTTTACGTATAGTGAAAAATCGACGCACTCATCATTGACTCTTATACGACTGAAACTTTAGGCTGTACATAACGTAAGGCATGTATGTTCGGTGTTAAAAAAAATTCCTTACTATGAAAAAAAAAAAAATTATAATACGAAAAAAGCATATTAAGGCAAGGCTACTCTCTCGATGTTTTGGACATAAACTAAATTTACATATTTAAATGAAAACAAAAAAAAAAAAAGCGCAAGTTATTGAGTGTAAACGTTAAGGTCTCTTAGGGTTAAAAAACAATTTTAACAGAAAACTAAAGCAGCAAAGCAGAACAAGCACTAATCATGATTGTGTGTAAACGTATTTAAAAAAAAAAACTCCCCGCGAGAAAACAAAATAACTCACTTTCGGTGTATTCTTAAAAAAAAACTTCTTCAAATACCTTGGAAAATGCTCTTTATTCTAAATGTTCATCCGGGTGTATTTCGAGAAAAAAAAAAAATGTTATTATACACACACACGTACCCTGTAAACTAACCACCTCTTATTCTTGACCTTTACCTATTTACCTGTACCCGCAAAAAAAAAAAACCCTTCTGGCCCTCTTCACCCTAAAGCCTAAAAACTTTTAAGGAACAAATTTAACGTTAGATGTGAAAAATCATATTATTGTACGGATGATATATCGCTATCATGATTGTCGTTATTAATTACGATTACGATTCGTTGCGACGATCGGTGCAGTACTATTTATAACATAAGTCGGATCCATGACGGTTCACCTTTTCGTGACTTTGTAGAATATTTTTTTCTTTACAAAAAAAAAAAAATCATAAATTTTCTCACTCGGAATAGTTTTTCTTTTCTAAAACAATGAAAATTTCTTTAAATCAAGAAACATTAATAGAATTATTTTAAAATTGATACACGATTGAAGAAACGTTTCTTTGAGTTAAAGAAATTTTTGTTTCAATTCAAAATTTTCTCTTTTTTCATCGAATATAACAAAAAAAAAAAAAAATGTAATTCTTTCTATTAAAAAAATAAAAACAATATTCCGAGTGCGAAATGAAAACTTGAAAAGTTTCAGTAAACCTTCCATTTTACCTGAAACTTTTTGGGAACCGAAATTTTTCAAGTTTTTAAAAAATTTTGAAAAGAAAAATTTCTACGGCGCCTTAGTAACTTGAATCCAGAAGTTGATTATTGTATATATAATATATAGAAAATAAAAGAAAGGAGCAGAAATCGAAATCAAAATTCAGTTTTCAGTTAGGAAAACTTCTGGTATAAGAATGGGAAATTCCAAGTTTTTTTTTTTTTTCAACAAAAATTTGGTTCTTTGAAAGACAGTCGCGATATAGTGATTGTTTTTGCTTGAATCAAAACAATAAAAAATAAAATGTTTTTTTTTTCGGAAATTGGAATATAAAATAGATAAGCGAATTCTTAGTTTTTGCCAATTCGATCCCTCTCTTTTCCAATCAATCTTTCAAACAAGATAAAAAATTGTTTTATTTTTCAATATCGTAAAACTCAAAATATCTATTTTCAATATCTCCTCTCTCTATATAATCAGATAAGAAGCAATTTTGATTTTCAAAAAGTTTATATCTATTTTTATTCGACAAAAAATTTTAATTAAAAAAAACATTTTTTTCTGAAATATATTTATTTTTATATCTATTTTTATTATTTTATCAAATTAATTTTATAATTTTTAAAAATGTCTTTTTCAGGAGAATTGTGAAAGGAATTTCTTTATTATTAAATATTATGAAGAATTGAAGTTTTTTGGTATTGTGAAAGTTGAGGATTTTGATAAGGTTGGTTGGAAAAGAATAAAGTCGGTTCGATATTTGAAAGAATAAGAAAAGAACTTGAAATGGAAATTCAGCGAGGTCACGTTTGTAAGGGACACTGTCGAGTTCCGGTTTTGCAGGGGAGGTGAACATTCGGTTGAAGCGAAGAACTCATTAAAACTTATAGTTACTCAAACTCTCAACAGTGGCTTTTAAATACGTTTATTTAGTACTTCAAAGCCAACAAAATTCTCATTTAATTCAATACTTTTGGAATAATATGAAAAAAAAAAAAAAAATTTCCTTGACAAAATCGTGATAGTAATTTGGATCAAGACACAAATTGCGATATTTGACACTCAATTTAATACTAAATTTAATTTCGTAAAATTCAATATTGAGAAAATAAAATTCTGAAAATTTCAGATTTGTTTCGATATTAATTTAAATGTTTTCTATTTTATTTTCATTTTATTTTATTAATAATAATAAGTCTATAATTAATCAATATTAAATTTTTTAATTAAATATTTAAAAGTCAGATATCAAAATTTCAACTATTTGAAAAATATTCTCAAAAGATATTTGAAAAAAAAAATTATGAGATTAGAAAAAAATCGAATTGAAATAAAAAAAGTGAAAAACCGAATGCACCTCCTTTGGCATATCACGAATAATTCACTAAAAACTGATCCGGCGAAATGAATTAGTCGAAAGAGGGAAGGGGGGAAATTTAAGATTAGATGAAAATATATTATATTAAAATATCTGTGATGTAAAAAAGTAACAAAATTTTGATGTATATTTTTCACAAGATATTGTAATCCAGCTAGTGTATATTAAAAATTACGATACTATTGTAATTATACGAGATACGAGACAAAATAATTAAAAGATTACGAGACGGGGTCCACACCGGGTGGTCATACGGGACCAAGATGGCGGGCATCGCTTTGAAAAGTCGGGCCCAATGATTCCTGTTTTTTTTTTTCCAAAAAAAATTTCATTTTGAAGACGGAAACAAAAAAAAAAATATTTCGATTTTCATGTTATACTGAACTTTAGGTTCAGCATTTTATATCTTTTTTGGTATGTTTATCGTTTTTGAAAAAAAAAAATAAAATAAATAAAACTGGAAGATTTGGTCCGATTAGCCCTGAAACGGCTCAATGTCAGCTACCTCACAGTGTCGTCACGTTTGGTATGATTCAAGCATGACGGAAATAAACCTTGATTACCGGGATGACCCACAAAATTCGATTTTTTTTTTTCATTTTTATCTCTTTTTTAATTTTCTTCTTTTTTTCTTTTCTACTTTTTCTTCTTTTTCTTTTCTGCTTTTTTAAATAATTATTATTTCTTTTACAAAAAAAAAAAAAAAGTTGGAAGTTTAAAAAAAATTTTATTTTAATTCAATTTTTGATTTGTTTTATAGGGAAAAATTTTATGGATCATCCCCAAGATCCAACATCGGTTGAAGAAGGTCTAAGCAGTTCCAAATTGTGCCTAAGTTTTGAGATTACGTTTTTTACGACTCAGCAAAACGAAAACGATAGACGCAAAGTTTAGTTTCAAGCAAAAAAGAGAAAATAAAAATGGGGAATTGTAGCTAAAACGAGGCTAGAAGTAGCGAATGAATGAATATGTATAAAGAAGAAGAAAATGATGAAAAAAAAAAAGAAGTATAACTTTTTGCGTTCCAGGGCCGCCTGGCCGCCATCTTGCGTTCTTTTTTAGGTTCCGTTTTGTCGAATAAGTGCAATTAGGTAAATCGAAACACAACCACACAAGGCACATTATTAGTGAAATGGGGGAAACAAAAGAGGAAAACGAACTGTTACGCACTAGGTTACAGTTTTTTAAATTCTATTTTCAATTCACGTACATTCTCGAATGTTGGGATTTTCGTGATCAACGAAGAATTATTGGCCTGTCATTCTTTATAGAATTCACGTAACATACCCATCGATTAAAAAAAAAAATACAATACTTTCTAAAAATTCGTCGATGAAAATTTTCGATCATTTTTTGAATTCTTTCTTCATTTTGTTTGTGTATAAAAAAAATGATAAGGATATAAATAATTTCCTTTAATTCGTAATCGTCTGACGAATACGATTGATGGTGCATTGTTGTTGAATAGTATACGAAATATTAGGAAAGATTTTAAGAAATAGCTATTCAATTAAAATTTCAACGCTTTCGCGTCTCGGAATTTGATTAGCCATTGAATTTGTAGCTTAATGTAAAATCTTTAGAGATTATTTACACAAGAATTTTTCAAAGACTGAGAGAGAAAGAGAGAGAGAGAAAGAGAAAGAATGAGAGTGAGAGAAAGGAAAGCAAATAAAAAAAAAATGTTAGATTTTTTCAAGTGGATTGTCCTTAAAATTTGTTATTGATAGTTATCCCATGGGGATTAAAACATGTTATAAGTTTATTGAAATCGTGTTTTTAATAGTATACGAATGTGCTCTGAAACAAAAAAAAATTGGAGTCCTTGTTAAATTGACGTTTTTAATTGAACTTTTATTTTCATAAGTAGTAGAATTTCTATATAATTTTAATTAAAATATTTTCTAAAATATTTAGAATTAGTCGATAGACTTTAAAATTAATTTTGTAAAAAGGACATTTTTAATATATATTATTTTTCCAGACAATTTATGTCTGTCAAATTATTTTACAGATAAAATCTGTATTAAATGATTTTTGTAAATTTCCCTTTTATTGATGGAAATTTTTTTTATTTTCTAGACGATATTTATGATTTAAGATTCAAGAAAAGATCGAAAATCCAATGTTTAATGGCTGAATCGCATTATTGATGATAAATTCGATAGTTAAAAAAAAAATCTTGGTACCTTCCAATTGGCTTTAATTCGTACGCTAAGTTTTAATTATAAATATACGATGACAAAAAAAAAAAAATAATGTCTCGCATTTAAATAATGTATACGCTATTTGACTTTTCGAAAAAAAATTCACAAAAATGTTTCATTCATTCATTAATTGGACAATGTCGACGAATTTTTCGAGGGTTTTCACAAAGTTCTGACCGCGAGAATGACAACATAGGGAAACAATACCGTGTAGATGATTTTACATTAGGGAATTTTTTTTTAATAATCTATTTTTAAGTTTATATTTAAAATTCTACTTTTAGATTTTAAATTTAAATTTTACATTTGTAATTTACATTTGTAAATTAAATTTTGTATGAAATAAGTTTTTGTAAATTAGACTTTTGATATTATTTTTTAATGCCTGATGAAAAATTATCTCCACAGAATCAGCCTAGTACGATCTAGTTTTAGGTAAAAAAAAAAAATAGCGCTGATACTAATTCGTTAGTACTTTTAGATTTTGGCGCTTTACTTGTTTGTATATCGTGTTTTTCTATACTGTCACTTTGCCCGCCTTGCATTTTTGGACTCGTGTTGCAAAAATCCAGAAAATTTTTTTTTCAAAAAACGAATTAACAAAAGAAATATGAATAATTTTATTTAAATTTCTATTCTGGGAAATTTGTAAATAAATAATTTTTTTTTTTGTAAATTAAAGAATTACTGATTATCTTTTTTTTGAATGGGGGGGGGAAAAGAGGGATTTTCTGGCGTTTTGTGCCCGTCCAAAAAGGAGAGGCCCTCACACTACAAAGATAAATAATATGTAACTATTCGAGAGAAGGTAAATTTTAAATAGTAACTACAAAGGATCCGGAACCAGCCCTGCCAGCCCTCCAAAAGTCACCCAGTCAATCATACCCCGAATCCTCTCCGTCATTCAATATTAACAATAAGCTCACACACGGCACACACGACATTACACACAGTCTGTTCTCAACAACAGAAAAACAACAGCCTCCAGAACCAGTCGTCTCCTCGCAGTTAAACAAGGAGAATCGGCAAACAAAAATCACTCGGGGGAAAAAAAGGGAAATCAAAATTTTCAAAATGCAAAATTTCCAAAATACGACCAATGAACGAGCATATCAATAAAGAACCAATAGTGTATAGAGATCAGTCACTTGACACAAAAAATGAAAAAAAGAAATCGCTTTGCATTTGAGAAAAAAATTTTGATTCTTCTATTTTTCTTTTGCGAATTTTCCTGCTGATTTCTCCAAAAACGTGTTGCGGGTTGCATACTCACTCGCGCACTTCAATAAACCGGCAACAACACACGTAAACCAATAGACATGAAAAATAGAATTCACAATAGAGCTCCACGCTCGTTGTGAAAAAAAAAAAAATAAAACAAAATGCAAAAACTATGCATCATATCCAGCAGTGATTTAAGCCAAGTAAAAAAAAAAACTTAAATAGAAAACGGAATCGGACATATCTCGAGGGTTACGTGATTTTTATTCTTAATAGAGAAATATCTTTTTCTTCTATATTCGAAAAAAAAGGCAATTTCTATTTTGACAAAATCACATTACTTACCTTGAGATTGGACGATAATCCCCCTCAAATCAAAACCTGCAGTCAGCAAACAGAGATAAACAATTTAAGTGCAGATGAAACAAACTATACTTATAATAAACAAAAAGGTATATATATAAATATATTATATATTATTATTAATTAACATACATACAATATATTATTAATATCGCAAAAAAGTACTATATATTATTATGATTATGATTATTATAATTATATTATTAAATCTAATGAAACAAAGTAACATTCCAACCGTCAATGTGCCACACGATTTTTTATATTATCTCTGAAAAAAAAACAAAAATTTTCGTAATCGTCGTTTTTAAAACTATTTCAAGTGAGAAAAGAACGGTATATTTTTCAAAATTAATATCAAATTTTTTTTTTTGATAGAATTTATATTCTTAATTTTTAAAAAAAAATGTAGAATTCTTATTCGAAACAATAAAAAATGCGAGAAACGAAAAAAAAAGGGGAGGGTTGGGTGTCTTTTCAAATTCTCAGATTTGTATGCCTTTTGTCGCATAAGAACACGTTCTTTTTTCACGATTATTATATTCGTCTTTCCCGGCGAAGATCTCCCGTTTCTCATATACAAATAAAACAACAATTTCGGCAACGATCCAAGTCAAAAAAAAAGAAAAATTTACGCGTCCATCGACGTGAATATCATACGCGCATCATCAGTTTTACGAATCTCACTTCTTTTTATTATTCCGTAATCATCTCAATGTCATTTTAACAAGATATTGATGATAATAAGAGTGCAATTTTTTTTTTTGCATTTAAAACAATATTCTGTATTTAACTATTCGATATTTAAGCCATATTCCGTAATGTATTTTTTAATTATAGGTGTATAAAGAACGCATTTAGAGATTCGAAAAACTGTTGATTCGACCCTCGTCATAAAAAAAAAAAATAGAAAATCAGAACCGAGATAGGAGTTCTCTTCCACAAAAAGGGGGGAAAAATGACGAATCACAAAAAAAATGATGTACATTTCTCCTAGAATCAGTAGTGCTCGACTTTTTGCGGACCGACCTATCGCCACGACGATTGATTAAAATTTTTTTAAAAAAAAATAATGGCAAATATAATTAGTACGATTATATTATAATTATTATTGTATATTGAGGTACACTAGCTATAAGTACAATTACTAACGATACCGGTTCATTATATTAATTAACTTTTACGATCATTCAGTATGAATGAGTGTATGTGTGTTTGTGTGTATAAATTGAAATTACCAGAGCAAATAAAAATCAAGGGTATATATATATATGTGAAAATTATATATAGACAGAATTTACAAAATGATTAAAAAATGACAAAATTTTATTATTATATATATAAATATATTGAGACATGACGTGACGAACATTTCTGACGAGTAAAATTATTTTATTGTATAAAAAAAAATATATATATACGCGCACGCATTCATCAAAAATACACACATATTCATTCATTACTGCGCTCGTGTTTCTAATGCAAATATAAACGCTTCATCGTGACGATATGGTGACGATTTTATTATTGTTTTATGTTACTGAAGCTCCGACGTTGATAGAAAAAAATTCTTCCATAAAAAAAAAAAAAACTCGAATCGTTCATTCATTTACAAATTTTCTTTACAAATACTAAAAAATTCTAATTTAAAATTTTTTTTTCTAATTTGTTTAGATAAGTTTTTTTCTTTTTTATTATTTATTTTATAATTTTTGGAAAATTTTCAATCATTCGAAATATTCGAGTTTTTTTTTTCATGAAACAGAATTTTTGAATATCCACTGAGGAATTCAAACTTGAGACCGATTGTGCAATTCGTAGCATTACGTAAGATATTCGGATTTATATCCGTTTCTCCTTTGCATTTCTAGATTTACAAATCTTTTTTAAAAAAACATTTTTTCAAATACTTTATAATAAATATTTTGTACAAAAAACTATCCTAAACTGAGAAACTTTCTTCTTAATTTTGTGAATCGCGACTTTTGGAAGGTACTTACACAGTTCAAGAAAAAAAAAGAAAAGAAACGCTTAAAATACAATATTTAAATGAGAAACAATTTTATCAAATTTTTAATTTCTTTTTTCAAATACCCTTTGGATTATTTCCCCCACTCTCCCTGTGTCTTTCTT